AACTTATCTAACGCAAAGCAAGTCAAGCCTTAAATTGCTGTAGGTATGCATGACAGTGATATATTAGAATTGAGAAAATCCACACCTGTCACAGACAGTAAAATGCCAACTCTATCTGGAAATAATTTACTTGAAAATTTTTATGTGATGCATGGCAAATTAGTTTTTCCTATTTTTACCACAGCCAGATATTAATGCAAGCAATTGCCTAATTGATTCAGAAAGGTTTTGTGTGAATAGTGTGAATCTGTTACCATTTGCAATGTTGATGCTCTTGCAAATGCCAGTCTAATAGCAAACAGGCCAGAAATCCTGTAGCTGGAATTATTTAAAAAGGGAGTATTTTTGCAGCTGTGTTTCCTATCACACAGTTAATGGAAAAAGTTATCTCTGCAAATGAAATATGAATTTTAATTGGAAATTAAAACATAGGTTAATTTCCTAGATTAACTGAGCAGATACATTAAGTACATTTTGTTTTCTCTTATATGTTTTATCTATGTATAATTTTTGTATATAAGATTGCTATTTAACAATTGCTAGTTCCAGTTAAAGTTAAATGCATGTTTCTTAAGAAAGTGATGCTTTAAAAAAATATATTAGCTTTCAACCAGTGTCAGTGCTTACCAGATAGGCCACAGTCTTAAGAACATACTTGTGTAAAGTTAAGCACATGTATAGATATTTGTAGGATTGGGGCCAGTGAGCAAGGCTGTCACCAAGGTACACGATTTTTGTTTGACATGGATTTAAAATACTGTGCATGTATGAGGAAGGTTTTTATACTCTTTATGCCAGAGGTGTCAAGCTCATCTAGCACTGTGGGCTGGATGGATAGCACAGGACCAGCCCTGTGGACTAGACTAGGACCACAGACCTCCTCCCTGTCCCCCAATGCTGAATCCAGCACTTGTGGTGCCTGACACAATGTTCACTCTGGCTGCATTCAGCATGAGGGGGACCTATGGACCCCCTGCATGCCGGATCCTGGCCAGCCTGGGACTGTGCTACACATAGCCCTCATTCTGGGACCCACGCTATATGCAGCACCCACCCCAGACCAGCTGGAGTGGGCACCATGTGCAACTCGATGTGGATTGGTCAGAGCAGGTGCTGCAGACACTGGATCTGGCATGCACGTGGGAGGCTCTGAAATGGCCCTGTGGTGTGTGTCCTGGGACCTGAGCATGGGACTGATCCAGTGCACACTGTGAGCAGCACATGGGTCAATCCACAACCTAGGGCCAACATCAAGGATGGGATAATGTGGCTCTGCGGCCACATCTTTGACACCCCTACTTTATACCGACAAAAGTTGATCACAACAGATTTTCCTGACTGGCAAGGACAAAATTTGATCTGCCTTCTATGATGAGATAAAGGGCTCTGCAGATGCAGGGATACCAGTGGATGTGGTGTACCTTGATTTTAGCTAGGCTTTTGATATAGCCTCTCACATTTTCCCAGGCAAGCTAAGGAAGTACAGGCTGTATGAATGGACTGTAAGGTGGATAGAAAACTGGCAAGTGCATCAGGCTCAGATAGTAGTAATGTATGGCTTGATGCCTAGTTGGCAGCCAGTATCAAGTCGAGTGCCCCAGGGGTCGGTTCTAGGGCTAGTTTTGTTCAATGTCTTCATCAATGACCTGGAAGATGGTATAGAGGGCACCCTCAGCAAGTCTGCAGATGACACAAGTTGTGGAGGGAGTATTAAATACACCGGAGGGTAGGGCTAGGATTCAGTGTCACCTAGACAAATTGGAGGATTGGGCCAAAAGGAATCTCATGAGGTTCAACAAGGACAAGTGCAAAGTCCTGCACTTAGGACAGAACAATCCCATGCACTGGTACAGGCTGGGGACTGACTGGCTGGGCAGCAGGGCTGCAAAAAAGGACCTGGGGTTACAATGGACAATAAGCTGAATATAAGCCAGCAGTGTGCCCTTGTTGCCAAGGCTAATGGCATCCTGGGCTGCATTAGTAGGTGTCTTGTTTGTAGGTCAAGGGAAGTGGTTATTTCCTTCTATTCAGCCATGGTGAGGGCATATCTGGAGTAATGTGTCCAGTTTTGGGCCCTCCACTACAGAAAGGATGTGGACAAATTGGAGAGTCCAGCTGACAGGTGACAAAAGTGGTGAGTGGGCTGGAGAACATGACTTATAAGGAAAGACTGAAGGAACAGGGCTGATTTAGTCTAGAGAAGAGGAGACTGAGAGGAGATTTAATAGTAGGCTTCACCTACCTGAAGGGGGACTTGAAAGAGGATGGAGCTGGACTGCTCTCAGTGGTGACAGATGACAGAAGAAGGAGCAATGGTCTCAAGTTGCAGCAAGGGAAGTTTAGATTAGGTATTAGGAAGAATTTTCTCACTAGGAAGGTAGCAAAACACTGCAACAGGTTACCCAGAGAGGTGGTGGACTCTCCATCCTAGGAAGTTTTCAAAACCTGGCTAGACAAAGCCTTGGCTGGGACAATCTATTTGGGGCTGGTCCTGATTTGAGCAGGGGGTTGGACTAGATGACCTCCTGAGGTCTCTTCCAACCCTATTTTTCTATGATTCTATAATATGCAGGACAAGCTATTTTCAAAATTAAACTGAATTTCCTTATAAGTTAGATCAAACTAATCGAGTACTTCCTATGTGCAGGGTCTAACTCAGGAAATCACCTGTTTTTTTTCAATGATACTCAAAGTACTTTTTTTTGACCCAGAACGGTCACGAATAGTAGTAACTTAAACAAGGTGTTCTCATTGACTTAGGCACACAATTGTGATAGTTCATGGGATCAGGCCCTCACTTATCACATAACTATAAAAGGATATCTTGTAGCGAGTTGCAAAAGGGAAATATTTCTTGTGATAACACATGGTTCAAAATTAACTGCATTTCAACCAAGAACAGAACGTGACTATTTTGCATTATTAATTGTTTTTATGGTTTAGATACAAAAACATTTTTATCAGAAATAAACTGCAAGTCCATGATGAAAATCTGGAGCTCTGTACACGCAGGGATTAAGGATCTCTCAACTCTGTTAGTATTTACTTCCAATTTTTTGTACACGATCATTCAGAGAGCCATATTAGGATATATACAAACATTGGTCTATTTTAATACATATTAACAAAAATCATTTCTGGCATTTACAGGTCATTAAAAACAAAACAAACCTGCCCCCAAAAGAACAGTTCATCAGGTTGATATACTGGTTTGGTTTCATTCCAAGATATTTGATAGTTATTATTCAAACAGATGGGTACAGAGGCCCAGGAATCAAATCATACCCAATTTACGGCATTTAAAATTAATGTTTGTTCTTGGGAGTATCTCCCTGTGCCAAAGCATCAGCTCATATGCATACTGCAGCAAACACTTCTGGTATACCTTCGATTAAAGCTCAAGGCTTGTAATTTCCTTACTAGGGATACAATCTGCAGATGTCTTGGCATGTATTTTAGATGCAAGTAGTCCCACTGACCTCACCAGGAGTATCCATTTGCAAAGGTAGATGTACACTGCAAGCATTTATAAGAATAAACAGATCATTTTTCTTGGTAATCCAGGTTATTTTTTGATAGCACGAATGCACATACAGTTTTGTTATTCTCAGGATAAATGGCTTAGAACTGACCGGTTATATTACTGAAGACTTGCAGGACATGAATAAGAGATGTTCTTAGAAGTGGCAGAATATTTTCTCTCACAAGTGTAACACCTGAGCATTTTTCAGCAGG